TTCTTGGACATTTGCCCTGGCTCGCTAATTGCTCCTTCTTTTACTACTGTTACAGAGCCACTGGGGCAGCCTCTTGCCATTCCAGTTTAGCTTTCCAGGCTCGAAAACGCCTTGTCCACRGAGCTTCATTACCAGGGCTGCCTCCTGCTCTGACAGCTTCCCCAGCGGTGCTGCTGCTTGGACAGAGCTGGGCAACACCAAGTTGTTCCCGCCTGGCATCTCTCTTCCCTTTTGTTTCTCTTGCCTCGCTGGCAGGCACAAAGGGAAGGAATTTCTGCTGTGTCCAATTCCTCTACTTCTAAGAAYGCTGCAAAACTCTGGACCGTGTATTCATGCATTGGGATACATCCCTGTGCTGCACTGTAATTTCAGCTGTGTTAGCTGTAAAGGAAAATAAAACCTCTATGTTTTCTTTCAACATTCTGGTTCTTGAGCAGTAGTTAAGAACTTTGGTACCTAAAAACTTAAAATCCTTCCAATGAAAAGGAAGATATTTCATTCTAAAGGTGTATCCGTCTACCTCTAAATTTATGGTCTTCCCTCTGCAGCTATGTCTTATGCAGGTAGGTAAATAACTTCCTGCAGGATCACAACACTTTTTTTCTTATTAATTTGAAATAACACATACTTACCTCAATGCAAGCATTTGTTTTCACAGTAGCCCTGCAAGAAAACCCCATGTGTAAGGATAAGGACTTGTGACTTCTGGTGGCCCGAACATGTCTAGTCATTATAAAATTTGCCCCAAGTTAGCTGCTCAGCATATTTTGGCTGAGTTCCAGAACTGGAAGAAATAGTTTTACAAGCTCTCTTATCTTACCAGAGCCAAGATACTACAGCAAGTTTTGGTTTGTGGGGTAGAGACAAATGTTTCTAGCAGGAGGCATTTTATATAAAATATCTGCTTCTCATCTGCTGTGGTTTCATTAGCTTACTATTTATTACCTTCTGCTTTTGGTAGAAACAAATGCTCCTTCTCTACAGCTTTATGAAAGTGGTCACCTATGTACAAGGAGAAGACTCTTCTACGTACCTGTTGGTTACATATCCAGCTGACAGTTCTCTTGTCTTTCATGAAGCAACTGATACTACAGCTCTATTTTTTTTTTTCTCGTCCCCAAAGATTACAGTAGTACTCCTAGGGAGTGCTGAATGAAGCCCAAAATGAGAAATCCCAGTTGGGTATGTTGGATTGCTCCCTCTTCACTGTTTTTGCGTGACCCTGCTGTAATGCCCGGAGCCAGGACTTAAATTCTCCAGTTTGATATGATCCTCAGTGATCTTAGTTTTTATTAGTCTATCTGGCATGTTTTGTGTTGGTTAATTCATCATCTAGGATTTCTCAGAAGAACTGGCATGAAAATAAGGTTCTCCCTCTCTGTTTTTAAAGCCAGATCCCTTTGAGGTTTAGGTAACTGCTTGCCAATGGTCACTGTTTTGTAGTTTTCCCAACTGCTGCACGTACCACAGTCACCTGGCATTTGCCCAGAGGGCAGTTAGACTGGTCGTGGCTACTGTAGTTCATCTTAGTGTAGGGTATCATGAGCCAAGAAAGTGGAGCATACCAGAAATCACCAAGTGATGGTGCAGCCTTTGCCGTGTGCTGGTGTGACAGCGTTCTTGSTGGCTGACCAGAAGCTCCACGTTTCCAGCAGCAGAAGTGTTGCTCGCCTTCTGTCTCACCTAACGCTAAAATCCATGGTCATCCAGCCGCGCTTGCCTAAGCCTGAAAGTTGAACTTTTTCCTCATGTACTCTGGGAGACTTGGAAGAAGGCAAAAGGAGGTTGAATATCGAAAATGTTGATTTCAGGTGGAGATTCCTACCATTTTGGTTGCACGTCCAGGCATGAGACCACKTTCAGAAGTTTGTGCAGAGGATGTGCTGTTGGTCTTGTATCTCTGGGCAGTTATGTTCCTCTTTCTCCCTTCACCCGTCCTCATACAACAAGCTAACACCAGATTGCTTGTTAAATTTTAAACTCTTAAAAAAAATTGTAATTTTTTAATGTTATCTGTGCTGTAAAGTTGCGACAAAAGTAGATAAGCCTTCTGTGGCCCCTAGTATTGTCCAGATTTGTTTCATGATCCAGTTGTTTTGCGCAGGGCTAGAGTGTCTGCAGCTCCATGCCTGGTTCTCTGCAATTCCTGGAGTTAACCGAGTTCCTCTTGTTGACAAGTTGCTCTTGTTCAGTTATCTCATCCTCATTGCAGCACTGCCAGCTGCTAAGTTAATAGTTGAAGCCATGTAAGCAGAGAACTACTAAAACCAGGCAGTTGGGTGTCCAGTAGCCTTGCAATGTCAGGTAACACTTCTGAATTGAGACAGATTTGAGGCTAAATTACTTTAATGGGTGGTATCTCCTCCCCTTGATGAGGGTAGAGACCTTGCTATTCTCTGACACCTACTCCTATGGAAAGCCACCTTCTCTTTTCTCTCTCTTCTGTTTTCWTGTCATGTGGTCTAGACCATGAATGTATTTTAATCTTTTCCTGCCTCACAGAGTCATTTAGGCTAAGTGCTAACCCCAACATGAAATTTAGTTTGCTGGGGATTAGAGGACTGCTTATCTGCATGCGGGCCTAGCAGCACGAGGCTGTTGCTTCCCTGTGTGTCTGCACAGTCTAGGCTGAGGGCTCTCGGCAGGCTGCAGCCTTCAGGACACGCTCTCTCCTTCCCAGTMTTTCACCATTTCAGCCTAACGCTCATAGGTGTAGAAAATGGGATCAACGGAGCAGAGGGAGATCTGGAAATACAATATAAATGTAAAGTGAATGGGTTGGTTTTTAAATATGCTATCAAATATGAGCCATCTTCAAGGAAGATAGGTGGAAAATGAGCCGTGTATGAGAGGCAACTTTTTCACCTCTGTAGTAGTTCACTTGTGTTTAGTGTTAGGTCTGATGCCAGCTGATTCCCCTGGATTCTTCTCACTTAGTTCTGTAGCAGATAGTTTAGATACTTATCTCACAGTGAATTCACTGTCTCTCACTGTCATCCTTCTTAGTCCAGTAATCTGAAACACAACGAATTAAGGTCTGAATCTTCTTATTTTGTTCTGCCTTCTTTCTTTTTCTCTCCCCATTTTTAAGAAGTATTAAGTATTTGAGAGGTACTGAGCAGCTCAAAGAGCTGAATGCCACATATCTAAATCTTTTTTGTTGTTGTTGTTTTATTTTGTTAACTATAGTGCCATGTAACTTAAACAGTTTACGTGGAAGAAAGGCCGTTTTTTGCCCCCCAGATTCCCTTCTCTGGCAGTACCTTGCAATTGTCTACTTGATTTTAGCTTCAGATAAACTTTCAGTAATGACAGTCGCTAACTCTGGGAAGCTCTGTGTCCTTGAACCCTGCCAGAGCCTCCGGATCTGGGCCTGAGCAAGGCTCATCAGAACTGCCATCTCTGAGGGCTTCCTGCGGCCCGTTTCCTGCAAGATAATGAATCAAATCATGCTTTCCAGGAGAAAAATCTGTGCTGCTCCTCTTTCAGGGAACTGAACTGCTCTTATCAAGCAAGTGCCTACTACTTTTTTTGTTTGTTTGTTTGTTTGAATTATTATCACTATTTTGGTTTAGGAGCATTTTGTTTACTGAAGCTGGATACTGAGAATGTATGTCAACAAGTTGAATTCTACTGAGTGGAAAGCAGCTAGCTCTCTTCTGCAGAAGATGATCTCTTTTGCTGTGTGGGTCACTTAGACCTTCACTGTATCTTCCACATGGTGCTGATTTCAGGAAGCTCTGACTGTGGTTTCATAGCCTTTGGCAAAAAAAAAAAAATCTGATTGGAGTAAAATAAGAGATGGCAGATGAGGAAAATGCTGTCAGGTATCTTGGAGAAGAGTGATTCTGTGCAGAGGTAGGAGAAGAGTGGTCAGGGTAATTTGGGGGGTCCTATGCCGTAATTTGCTTAAAACATAGTGTAGTCCTATACTTACTGTAGAAGAAGGAGCGTGAAACAAAAGCTCCAGGTTTTATCCTGTTCTCTCCTTCCCTGTGCTTGGTTACTTCAGGCTTCTGTCCTTCCATTCCTCACTCTGACTCTCCTGATTTACGGTGATGGCAAGAGCAATGTCAAACCTCTGCCAGCATGAACACCATATATACAAACAGATTTTATCCATGAACAGAATTGAAAATGCAGAAATGCAGTCACCTCGTTGCAAACTGTGAACAAACACTTAACTTTTTGTTATTTGTTTCGTTAAAAAACCCTCTTCATTCTACGTGTTAGTTGCATGTGTCTCTGGAGGGCATACTATGTATAAAGATTATTTTTTATATTATTATTAAATTATAATTATTAAAAATTATCAAATTGAGATTATTTGCAGAAGAATAACTTCCTTAAAAGTTGCAAAGGAATTTTCATTGCTGGTACTGGCTCTCCTTCAGCAATAAAGATGAAATACAGCAATTATTAAAAAAAAAAAAAAAAAAAAAAAAAAGACAGATCTGTCAGTAAACTCCTGGTTGTTCTTCTGGAGCTGCTGATCAGTTGGGAGATTTGACTGTGCACTCCCAGAACAGTACTGCTTGGATTCGGATTGCAGTTTTTGTCTTCACCTTCTTTTGTTCTTTAAACAGCACAACACGCTTGTCTCAGACCGCTGATTCAAGTGCACCACGGTGCCCTCGTCAGGCCCAGCTGGGACGGGGACACATGTGCAGCTGCCRTCTGTGACTGCCCACGTAGTCCCACACAGACTCTCAGCCTGGGCACGGGAGGAACTAGGACGTTTATTTCCTCCCGCTCTAGTAATTCTGTTCCTCTGTGTGTGGCAGAAGAGTGGAACTAAAACATGTTTCAAACTTACTTGTAGAGAAATTCTTCAGGWGGTTTACAGCATGTTGAGCCTTCATATATATATTTTATATGTTAAAGTACAGTACAAATTGGTAATATTTGTGTCAGAGAGCTTGTATTCGGCAATGTACATAGGACTGTGGCAGAAAACACTTTAAGTAGTGCTCTCGCTTGTTAGCCAGTTCTGGGGTGGTGGTTTTTATGCTTTTGGAAGTGGAACATAATTTAATCTGTATATAATGCTTCTGAACAAATCGGGCTGCTTTTCGATTTTTAGAGTTATTCTTCAATTTTATTTCAGGACATAACTTGGCAAGATGAACACTCAGCTCCTTTCTCTTGGGAAACAAAGGTAAATATGCAACAGTTCTATTTTTAAYGTTGGTTGTCATTTGGTCCTGTTCTTTGTACTTTTATCTTACATTCAGTTTGGGATTTGATACGCTAATGTCACCTTTATTCCATGAGAGCCTTGTAAAGTGACCCATACTGCAAGTGAAATTTGGCTGGTGTGCTGCACTTTATGTCAACAGAAACATAAAAGGTGCTTTATGAACCAGTGCTCGGACASCTTGTACAGATGTAGAACTGCTTCACTCCAAACCAGGTATCTSTCCTTGTAAGGATTCTAAACAGCTTTCTGTGTTTAGTGAGGAAAGGAAGGTTAATCTTGAAAATACATATCTGGCAAAGTATAAGCGTAATTGAATTTCGCTTCTGAAGTCAGGATGAAGTAGGAGAGGGAGTGAGAAAGGTACAGATATCTAGCAGCTCCCTTGGATCTTTTTAAAAGCCTATCTCACMCTTGTTGCATCTTCTTGTTGCATATTAGATTGTAAAGAAACCGGCTAATGTGGGCTATGATAGAAGACTCCTGACTCTTTTCTGAAGAGCAGCTCCTGCAAAAATTATTTGCTTTTCTTCTTTCTCTCTCTCTCTTTTTTCTTTTCTTTTTTTTTTTTTTTTTTCCTCCTAGCATTTGGCTGGTGTTTTGTTAAAGCATTATTAACAGTGGGACAATGGGATTCTCATAAAGCTAAAATAAAGCTAGAATTCCTCATCTTTGTGAAATTGTGGTATGAGGAAATGGAGTCGTACCATGCTTTGGTGGTGAATCAAGTATAATCCTTTTTGTCAAGGAAAACTTGGAGACAGAAGCTCAATTCAGTGCCCCTCTGAACTAGGAATGTTAAATTAATCCCAGTTTCAGGCTCCTGGTTCTCTGACTTTATCTGCCAGAGAAAGCTGCTGTTTATTATTCTTTTGCCCTTGAACTGTGTAGACATCCTGTGTGAGCTTATGAATCTAATCTAGGCCTCATGCAAAGTAATTATCTGGAAATGCCAGTGAATCCTGACTTAATCCAGCCGACCCAACCCTAGAAGCACCTTCTGTGCCCAAGGTCACTGCCTGCCTACCCTGGTTGCACGGGGCAGTTGCCAGTTCACCCAGAACTTGGTGCTGGCCACAGGGAGCAGCGCAGCAGTTTGGAAGCAAGCGGTGCCAATCCTGATTTACTGATCTRCTTGAAAACTGTTACACGCTGTGGCAGCTCAGGTACAAATAGAGGCCCTTGTCATGGGGACTCAGTGCCTAGCTGGGCTTGACAGCCTCTTCATGCTGACTCCTGCCGTCCCATCTTGTTCATCAGGGCGCTTAGAAGAAGCCACTGGTTTTGATGTAAGACTAGAGAGGCTGTTATGTGTGGGTGTACTTGAGTGTAGGTGTCAAGAAAAGAATAGTGGTGAGAAGAGTATGGAAGTCACTGGCCATAAAGCGAATTAAATCACAAGTTGGACTCAACTAAGTTACCATAGCTGCCTGCCCTACTGCTTGGTGCAGAACCAAAGCTCCATCTTGGGAACACTGCAGCTGAAATCATATATCTGCGCTCTAACTTGATGTGATTTAATGAATTCTGAATACTTGAAATTCCTGGGGATAATTCTTCCTGTAATACACTGTCAGAGCAGTGACCCGTGATGCAATGCATCTACAGGCAAATGGGCTTTACCTGGTGGTCTCTTTCTCTGGATGCTTACATGTCTAGTGAAGTTTTTTCCAGCCCAGTCTGAGGCCTATCCTTTGCTGGTTGGAATATTCCTACCATCCTCCTAGTGTCTCCAAATGAAGAACTACAATGTATAGATGATCCAATTTTTGTTTTTTGTTAATGGCTAAAGGATGGCAAAATGATATGCAACAAATCCTATGACTGCTGTAGAGTGAGGAGGGCAAGAGGACTTATTTTGGTGATAGTTACTTGCCKCAGCCACTTAAATTGTGCTTTTCCCCTCCCCACTCCTCCTTTGCTGACCAGAGAGGACAGTGAAGCTGTGCTTCAGCTATGGTGGGAAAGCTTGGATCGCCTTTTCCATGTGCAAAGCTTTGGAGAATCCATCTTAGCCAATCTTATGGGCTGTGGGTTGGTTGGTTTGTGTAGATGCTTCCTCTTTCTCCTTTTTTTTTTTTTTTTTTTTAATTTTTCCTCGGTGCTTCCCAGTTTCCATCCCCTTGCAGTCTAATCCCTCAACTGCTGACTCTATTCTTAAGGTTTCTATCTTGTTCCATGCTTGTTCTTCTATCTCTTCCCTAAGCAATGCTTTAATAAGATGATACTGGAATGCAGTTTCTCCATGAGTTATTGGGCCGGGATACTTTCCATTCAGCCAGTCAGCCCAGTTTGAGGAAACATCGGAAAGCACTTGAGGTTGAAGGGACTCGTTTAACAAGATTGAGACCTTTYAATACGTGTTCATCGTGTTGAAAGCCAGATCTGTTCCCCCAGTTACGGGAAGCTCTCGGGCGCTCAGTAGCAATGCCTCATGGTGTGTGCTTCTTCTCATGATATTCTTTGATAACTCTCCCATGCAGAATTGTGGGGTGTTTTTCGTTCTTTGTTCATTMTTGCTGTTACAAGGGAATTCCTCCCTTATTTTGCTGCTTCATATGAATGTGCTTTGGCTCACCTAAGGAAGAGAATGTGGCCCTTAAGGTTTCTACTTTTGCAGAGGAGAAAGGAGAGGATTTAAAGGAGCAAAACCAATAGGCTTGAGTTATCATTCAGATTGTAAGAAAACTGCAAAGTAGCAATATTTTATTTGTCTGTTTCCTAGCATTTTCTATGCTAAGAAGCCTGGAGAAGAGGGGAGGGTAAGCTCAGTGCATTTTGGAGCYTCTCTTGGCTATCAGCAATGACAATAATGTTGATTCCAGATGATGCAATATGGTACCAGTTTTAAAAACAAACCCTTGAAAAGTTTAAGGACYTTATGAAGGCACTGCTAGAGTTTTTTGCTTCTTGTTATTTAAAACAAAAAGGCAGCTGAGTTCTTGTAGGTAGTAGCATGGAGTTTACCAAAACAGCCACCTTAATCCATATTTAAGTAGATTCAAAACAAAACAAAAACCAAGCTACAGTCTCCTTTTTAGAGGCCTCTGGTACACATACTTCCTGTGGGTGCCAGGCCATTTACTGAAATGCACACATACACATTTGGGATGGGATTTTGTTTTGTCTTTTAAAATTCCTTGGTCCCAGGGAACTTGAAGATCTACTTCTCAGATGATTTTAACCTCTATTTAAGGATGTTCACTATAGTATCTTTCAGTTATCTTTTTATTATCAAAAATGCCTGTTATATTTTTGGGCTATCGGTAGGACAGTTTATTCCGATGGCCATAGCTGGAAACAAGACTTACTTTTCATGAAAAATTAGGAATATGGGACAAACCGAATTAGACAAAATTGCAGTGCTGAGACACTACCTCACAGTAGTGCAGTGAGTTCCCTAATTTGAACTGTCAAACTGAGCAGGGAATTGTGTACTGAATGTTCTTAAAGATCAGAAATAAACTTTCTGTATTCTTGTTTTAAACAAAYGTGAGATAAGGATTAAGTTTAGAATGTGGCCAATGTGCTGATAKCTCCATGATTTTTAGCTGTATGATGTATGTTCACTTTAAAATTCTTGTCCTACCTTTATTTTTAAACAAACAAAGCAGAAATACAATGTAAGTTGTTGAGCTAGCTGTAAGACAGTATTGAAAGACCTAATATTTTAAATAGAAAACTCTAGAACTTTCTAAAGGGAGAACTATTAGGGAAGCAGCAAGTTCTTGTGCCACTGCAAGTAAACTCTCCCGTTAACTAGTGATTGGCTTGGATGGAGGGATTTGGTTCAGGGGTAAATATAATGCATCTTGAAATGTGGGTTATGGTTTTTTGCTGGAGCTAAAGCCAGGTTTGTAAATTTAGGGCACTCTATTTATGGCTTCAGATTTAAGTGAGATCAAAACTGATGCTTTTGCTGAGTTTGACCTTTGAAGCTTTTTTGGTTTGTTTGAACTAAAAATTCAGTGGCATTCTGCGTAAGCCTTAAGATACAAATGGAAAACAAAGATCATGCCTGTTTTTGCAAATGAAATTTCACTGTAACTTTTTCTGAASCTCTTTGTGGTTGTTTTTAATTAACATAGGGGACAGAAGACACCGTAATGTCAATCTGCAACCTCAGCCAACACAGTGAACACACAGAGCAGAGTGGGAATAAATTAATCTATTTCCAAATCCCATTATTAATTAAGACAAATTTTATTCAAAAAATCTATTAAACTAACACATGCACATCTAAAAATATGTTGGTCTTGTTACAGGTATGCTTAAAGTTCTCTGTGCTTTTTTTCTTTCATCTTTCTATTTATAACAAACCCTCAGGTGTTTTTCTGTAAAGTAAAACCTTCCAGGTGTGTGGGTGTGTGTTTTTCATAGTGAGTGTGAGGGGACAGCACTTCATCCCATTTAAATCCCATTCACTACTCTGCCTCTTGACTTTCTAGTCTTGTTTCTATAGAATGATCTAACCAGAGCACAAATTTATGAAGAAAAAGAGCCAAATTATGTTGCACTTGAAAATATTGCTTGCAAACTATGTTCTCTTTATCCAAGGTCTAGAACAACACTCTTTAATATTATTCTCTGCAAAATTCATATATTAAATTCATATATTAAATTCATATATTAAAAATGTCAGAAACATTTTTCCTACTTCCTGAAGACCTTGATATTAGATGTCTTTTGTTGTTACAAACTATAATTCAGTGTTATTATTTTTATGAAGTTGACAAAAATATCAGTGTTTCCTTATAAGGAAAGTGCTGCCTTGAGTTGTGGATTTTTCCTTAGCCTTTTTGATCTAGACTATAGATATCTTAAAAATATTGCTCTCRGAATACTGTGGGCTCCCAGTTCTTGAGGGAAGAAAAGAAAAAAAACATGTGGTGATAATACTGGTGTTCAAGGTTTATTTTAATCTGCGTGGCCAGGTGTTCTCAGCCACAGATGCAGTTGCTGCATCACTCTGGACAGCTGTTTTTGAACATAAAATCATSCACGTACCACATAGAAATACAAATTTGCTCCAACTAACCAGCTAGAGGAACAAAGTCATCCAGAACCAGTTGTTCATCTCACAAAAATAGTAAATCCTGGAACTTCCTCTGAAGCGACGTGTTTTGCATCTTTTGCACTGTCATTGCTTTGGACCAAAATTAGCTCGTTTTGAGATGCTTGCCCTCATTTTGTCCTTGCGATGGGTCTCTGCTGACCTAAGGATTTCTTTGTGATTCCWGTCGAGATCACTCTCTGCATAGGAAAGGAAGTAAAAACTGCAGCTGTTTTGGGTCCCATATTTGTTTTGCTTATGTCCACTTGGCAAACCAAAGTCGTCATCTATTTTTTTTTTTAACTCAGCTTTCTTACCTCTGCATATATCAGGCTATGCTTAAAACAAGCTGTTTTTCTGACAGTGTTTCTGCAGTGTTTGTCTCAACAATTTAGACTTTTGAGGCTGCCAAGCAAAACAATTTGTTTTGGCTGTGCTTGCTTCTCTGTTTAGTAGAATACTACACATTCCCCATGAGTGAATAACGTGCTTAAAAAAAGTTCCTAGGTTCTCTGTGGTCATCTTGTTTTTAGCACAGGGCTTAAGAATTGAGATCTGGTTTTATACATTATTATTAAACTATTAGATACTTAGTCTGTGCTGTCTCTATTTTAGAATACATTGTTTGCCGTGAATACATAGTGATGCAGATAAAAAATAATAATAATGTATTATCCCTGCCTTAAGACTTGAACAAGATGCCCCAAAAAAAAACTTGGTAGTAAATAAAATTCATAAATACCTTAGTAGGGTCTTTTTTAAGGAAAAATGGAATGTCTCAAACAACTTTTTTAAAAAACTTCAATTTGAATATAGCATATATAGGCTCACTTTGTTTTAACCCTGCAATGTTTTGGGATCAGAAGGGTAGGACTACAGAAGAAAAAAAACCTAGAAACTGGAGTTTGTTCTACTTGAAAATACTCTTTAGATGGAACAGATATKTCTTTAATGAATGTTCAGTGACTTTTCATACCTAAAAGATGAAAATTCTCAAGAACTGAGAGCAGTACCCAACCGAACAGCGGGTACTTCCCGTATTAAACCAAATATATTTATTTTTAATTTGAATGCTTAATAGCCTTGTTTTGGTACATTCTTCCCGAAGATCAGTGGGAGGCTGGGCTGACTGCATCCACGGTCCTGTGGGAGTACAGAAGTGTGTGCAGCTCCCTCCGTTCCCCCAGGTGCCCATCCCRTCAGGATGAAGAGGGCAGCTTCTCGAGACCGCGCGGACATGTGGCCTGCAAAGGGCAAAGCTGCCTGCAGTTGCCCGCCAGTCTTGGCACTAAAGGCAGTTTGCTGCTTTCGGACCAGACCYCTTAAGTTGACATTTGGGCCCATGCAGAAAAACTGGGAACACGACCACAGGAAGTGGCTTTTGCTCCACAACACAAGAATTTTCCATGAGGCACAACTTTATTTGTGGCTCTGGCTGCTGTTGAAAGACAGTCATCTTGTCGTGTTTTGTGGATTTTATTTGTTTAATTCCCTTAATTCTTGTTCTGACAGAGCCCTGCTATGCCTTTTATCAATGTTCAGCCTCAGATTTTGTTTCTGACACTAGCAGTGTTAGGCCCATGGTGGTCCTTCATCCCCTGGGCACTTCCATCCCCTCTTCCCTTGGCTGGAGGGTGAGAGAATCGTTCTGGTGAACTCTTAGCTACTGCTCTCTCCAGTGGTAGCAGTGGGACAGGATGGGCAATAGAAGGAAGACTTGAGGACAGAAAGCACCGTTATTTTAATTTCTGCATACAAGGAATTTAGGTCTTCCAAGATGCATAAATTCCTTTTTATAAAATGTTTTTTTTTTTACCTTGTACACTGGGGAAATACCGGTCTCTTCTATGTGTCATTTTGTTCTATTTTTTTTTTTTTATAAGCTGGGATTTTATCAATTCTGAGGTCTTAAAGCATCTTAACTTCAGGGTGTTAATCTCTCTTCAATAGCATTGCCAAGTGAGCTTAGAGAAATAAATCTGTACCCTTTAATATAGGAAATGGCTGTCATTGTGAATAATCCTCAGCACTATTTCATAGCTTGTTAATGCAGAACTTATCTAAGCAAAAATCCCAGTGTTATCTCTAAGAAATAATTACAGCAATCCCCACTGAAAGCAGAGAAAAAACAAAACCAAAAAAACTTATCTCTGGAGTAAGTAAAGGGCCAGTCTTGCTGGAGTAATTTTTTTTATTTCAGAGGAGTGTTAGAATTGTAAAAACCACAGAGTGTGTGTGTGTGTCTCCATTATATCCATTTATTTATCTTGTAATAAGATGAAGTTGTAACACGTAGCCCAATGTYTTAAAGTCCCTAATTGAAGGCCACCTATTGAACTACATTGTAAAGCTTTTTTGCTCAAGTCTGTCCTGTCTAACATTTGTAGCCTTCAGAAAGCASCCACATCTGTTCTCATGTTCTGGAGCTGTGCCTTGCACTGCCCTTTTGGGTGGCACTGTGCAACACAAATATGCTTTCCCTCCAACTGACTAGTCTACAGCTAATAGTCTTGCATTCACTTGCAGTTTATTTTTATATATACATTCATCTGCAGTATTTAAATGTACGAATAAAATAATAAATGCATATTTATAGCTGGAAAGGCAGATATTCAAGGAGAAAATAAGTCAGTTTTGCTGTGGCATCTGTTCTTGGGATGTGATTGGTCATTGGCAAAGGTGGTGTCTGTACATGAAGATCGAACTGTTCTTTTGTGAAAGTATTTGAAATGCTATTTTTCTTTAAATCTGAACAGAGTCAGATGGAGTTCAGTGTTGCATCTCTGTCCATACAAGAGCAAAGTGGTACCCAGTTGCCAAATGAACAGAAGCCAGCAGTTAAAGCAGCGCCTGGTATCCAAGTTCCTAAATCTTCTCAGGCWAATAAGACCCCTGGCTCTGATGGGCTGCTAGCATCCAGAAAAGAAGAGGAGTCCTCTTTCTGGAAGATAAATGCAGAGCGCTCGAAGATTGAAGGAGACAAATCCGAGTTCCAGTCATTGACCCCCAGCCAGATCAAGTCCATGGAAAAAGGAGAGAAATCCCTTCCCTCTTTCTACAGACAAGAGTCTGCTCCAAAGGAGGTGCCAAAAGCAGAGAAGCCGAGTGCAACTAGAGCAGAGAAGCCTGGCACCCCTGGGCTACCTTCTGCATCTCTAGAATGGGAAAAACCTCGACCCAGCCAGCTCCCTTCTAGTTCTCTAGATGACTTCTTTCTTCCCGACCCACCACGGGACCTCGCTCCCACTAGGACAACCAGTGAAGATAACGATGGTATTGCACCTACAGATCCACACACTTCTGGACAGGTGAGGGGTGCTGAATCCACTRTTCCTTAAATTTAAGAGCATACAACAAGACTGGGGATTTCTTAAAGCATTAAGCTAAGTTTGCTGGCCTTTTACCCTGCAGATTTAGAGCTGGCTGTTTAATCAACATATTAACTCTCATTGTCTCTTTTTATCAGTATTTTTCCAGTATGGTAATGTTTGTGGKATAAAGGCATTAAATATAATACCAGAAACACTGATTGGGCATACAGTGTCTTCTTGACAGCAAGCTACCTAACAGTTTAGGGTAGAGAACTTACCGTATCAAATAAGAAATCAAGACTTTTCTCTTTTTTCATGAAATAGCAAAGCACTTTGGGCAAAAAGCTTAACTTGAAAAGTAGACAGACTAGGATCTAGGATACCTCTTTGGGCGTAGTCAGCTTTCTCCCAAGCAGCTGGCTTATTTTCAAATATGCTTTCTTTTAAAGTCCAAAATGGGAATGGAATGAGCCTCCAGAATTAGTCTTCTCATGTTTTTTATAAACAGCAACAACAACAAAAAATAACCTTAAGCAGCTCAATAGCCACTTGGAGCTATTCAAAATGCAGATGCTGATCTGTGAGAAAAAGAAAAGAACAGCAAGAGGTGACACAGTGAGGAACAGAAAAAAGAACAGATATGAAGTGTAGCCTCTGAAGCAGAGAAGTAGTTCTCTAAACAAAAGTTTTGCAGTTCTGTTTGGAATCTGTGGCATTGCTCTCTGGCATGAGCCTGACATATTACTGTACACCTTAAGCATGTAACTTAGTGGTATGGTGATTTTTCTTTTAATATAACTCCCTTATTTTTACATCAGTGATTTTTTTCCCTTAATTCCAAACCACATGATGTACAATAAAAAAGATCCAGCCTGAGTTTAAACACTTGACAATGATGTAAAAGCCAACACTTGCAAGTATTATTTAAACTGCTGCAATATTTAGAGCCCGAGGCTTACTTATTATTTTTGAAGCTAAGAAATTAAGCTTCTTTAACAGTATTGTGGCAAACTGTGCCTGCAGTAGTTATTTAATTTGTAGTTTAAAAGTAGTGCTGTGAATACCTACAAATGAGTCGTTGGTTACAGTTCTAATTCTCACCTGAGCATTTTCTATCTACCTGAAATAGTTTGAAAAGCCTTGGGGGGAGCTGTTTGCTTGTTTTTCCCTCCATGCAAAAACAGACTTCCTATATCAAAATGTAAACAGAGATCAGAGAAGGTTATATGAGTAAACTTGCCTCCTTTTCTGGGAAGAGCATCCAGAGGCTCAGGCATCTTCTCTTAATATGAATATTAAGAGATTATTCAGATTACCTTGAATTTCATGGCTAAAAGTGAAGTGCTGCAGAAAAAAGCATGTTTTTGATAGCCCAGTAAATAACTTGTCAACAAAGTTTGAGATGTGATTTTCTGAAAACGTCTGATTGTCATTGTAACAGGCAGTCTCTTTGAATTAGTGATGCTCACATTCTGATTTGTTTTCTTTCATCTCTGCCAAGTGCAGTGTTCACTCCAGTCAAAAAGTGTATCTGTGAGTTATTTCAAGGGAATAGAGAATCTTTTGCCTGCAGACCAACACCAGAAATTTTTTTTTAACTGGAATTGCCCTTTTTTTGGTCATTATTAGTATTTCCCTATGTCTGGGATTTTTTGATGTAGGTGCTTAGGTGTCCTAGAGCAAGGTGAAGAACTTGAAATATTGGCAGACACATAAAGCTATTTTGTAAATAGGCAATCATGGTGCTGTGTTTGCAATAGCATGATTAACAATCATATCTTTAATATTTCTTTTCTCTTGCAGAGTAATACAAGCACTGTTATCTTGAAGACTGGCTTTGATTTTCTAGACAACTGGTAAAAGATACTTCAAAATAGTTGAAACTAATTTTGGAGAAGGAGTGGAGCATTTTCTCCTTGTATGTTAATTTACTAGCATCTGTGTCTTTTTCTAGCAGTAACTTTTAAAATCTTAAATGTTGCCTTTGTATAAACTTTTGTAATACCAGATGCATTTTTTTTTAAACAGTGATAAAAGTGTGGTCTCATTTGGATTTTTTTTWAAATATCTGTTATTTTTTGTAGTTATTGTATTGAGAAGATGGAGGAAGTTAACATATATATGTTAAACAGACTTGAAATGGAACTACAGGAACAAGTTGCTACTTTCAACTGAAATCTTGCTGGCATAAGCAATAGCACACAACATGCACTGGTTCCAAATAAAGAAGTAATTCTGTGCTTCAAGTAACTAGCAAAAAAAAAAAAAAAAAGAGGTGTGAAAAGTCAGCATACGGAAGAGTTGAAGTAATTTCTGTATTTCCTTTAGTTTGAGAGTAATTTTTGTACCACTTATTTGCAAACACTTTTTTGAAGAGGACAAAGGCATTGCCAAAACGACAGATCCAAAGAAGCCCTGTGCTCAAACCCTACATATCTCATGAAACACCCAGAAGGGTGGAGGAAAGCAACCATGGGCAGGGGGGRAAAAAAAAGTGTTTCTTGTCTTTGGATTAAAGATTGGAAAGGTGGGGCGGGAACAAGGAGGGGGAGGAGGAAAACTCTTAATGGAGGGGAGAAACTGTCTTCAGGGAACATAAGCCTAAAGATTTCCCTGCCTCCTTGCTGGAACATACCTTTTCATTAACAGTAGTGCTGGACATGCACTGGAGATAGCTAGAATGCAGATGACCTTGTTGAGGAAGGTCTGTGGCAGGGGGAGCAGTACRGGGCACTCTGGGTTTTAAGCAGCTTATCCACTCAAGGACTCATCACCTTTGGTGCTTTTTCTCCCGGTGGGTACGTTCCCTTCAGCATTCCGGGTGTGGGCTCTATGTGTTCCTGAGGTGCAGGGTGGCATCTCCGAGCGGCCCTCGGCGGGCCTGCCTCCCCTTCTGCTTTTGAGTGGTCTTCGCTTGGTGTTTTCAGTGTAGAGCAGCAGACTAGATGTCATTTGAACGTGCCGTCCGGAAGTGCAGCATGATTTACACACTGACTCTCACTGTGTTTACCTCACTTGGAAGCCTTAATTCTCCCTACGCACAACCAGAGAACGGTCTGCTCCAATGCCAAAGGTCTGACCTTCCCCTTTACCTCGGCGTGCAGTAGTCCCGTAGCGTTTGTGTGAGGTAGAAGGCAAAACCCAGGGCTCTAAATGGGTCTGATGGGTCAAAGCCAAAGCTCTAAGAAGGTCACCCTTGACTAGACCTTGACTAGACCATAATTGTGCCAGGCTTCTCGTGCATTAGCATTTGGCGTGTGGTTAGCTGCCAATGGCAGTTAAATGTGCAGGGTTGGATGCTGCAGAACTTTCTTCTGCGTCATGCAGGCCTGTTACAGGAGAAGTCTTGCCTCAGATGGGCGTTCTGCTTGCTTTGAATAAGTGTTGTATGCTGATAGAGCACTAAACCTTATTTCTYGATCAACGAAAAAAAGCTATAAGCTGACAAAAATTAAAAAAAAAAAAACCTTTTTCCAGTAAGTGTTTTCTTAAAAGGTTTCTTAGCTAAAGAGGAAAAGCCACAGAGTATAGGTCATGGTCTAGCCTTATTTATAGAATTCTGAAAGCTTCTTTACATCCTTGCTGGGATGTACAAACTACTGTAATTCATGGATATTGTCCCTGCATTCAGCAGTCCAGAAAATACTTCTGTTGTTTTCATTGGCCTAAACTTGTCTTCTATTTTTTCCTAACTGACCTTTTAGGATTTGTTAMCGGCATCCAGCATTAATACAGCTTAAAGCAGCTTTAGCCACAAATTCCTTAGGTGTAAAATTAGTTCTGACTTGCACCTTCTTTTCAAAGCTGTCGAATGCTAACCCAGGGTTTTACAGTTACCAATGAATCTAATTTTCTAGACATTCACCTACCGAGAAGCTTTCAATGTAAAGGTGTGCGTTCTAACCTTACTTCGACATTTGTAGCTCTTAAAGCAAAGTCTCCTACTGTTGAGAAGTTTTCTTTTAAATCTTTGCTAAACACATTAAAACTCCTTAAAGAAGAACCTGGGCTGTGTGTGTCTCGCATTGGCTGACTCTCCCCTAATACACATTGGGACCAGCTGGTAGAACATGCTGCAGAACTTTCTACTTATCCTCGTAGGTTTTTCCTGTGCTTTGACAACTGTTGATGCTCCTCCTTCTTTCATATGTTTTTATTAAACCTTCTTACAGAACAATTGTACTTGGTCACATTTTATATTAACAATGTTTTAATAAATTCACTTTAAATAGAACATGCAAGKCCTTTGTTCTGCTTTTGTTTATTGTCCCTTACATCCTGCTTCCCTCACTGCTGTTGCAGCTGTTTGTTTGCATCTTGAAATCTCTCTGCCAGAGAGGCAGTCAGGACTGATCTGCTCTAGACTATAGAACTATGAACTTTTTTTTTTCCAAGATCAGAATAAAGAAAAATCAATTCTCTRTACTGCTAGAGTAGAGAGTTTTTCTGACTCTTATGAAAAAGTGTTTTGGCAAGTATCTTTATCATTTTGGGACAGGGCAAGATTTTGAACTTTATGAAAATTTTAACCTATTTTTACTTCACTGTAGGGGACATATTTTAAAAAGAAGATACTCGTAGAGGCTGCTAGGTAGTCTCACTTTCTGCCTTTTTTTTTCAATATTCTGAAAACTTTCCGCGTAAAAGAATCAAAGATGCAGGTACAGGGGTAGTTCTTGTATTACATGCCTACATCCTGAAATGTATTTTGAAAAACAAYGCAATTTATTTTTCAGCTGTATTTCTATCAACAAATAAAATGTATTCTAGGAAGAATCTAGTTGGAGAGATTTGACAGCTTTCTAAAAGTGATACACCAAATGTAGGTAAGATTTTATCCTATGTATAGTTTGCTTCAGTCTTGTTTAGGCTCTGTCTGATTTTTGAAAAAGACATCTTTTAATGCAGCCTAAAGATGTACATTTTAATATTACTTTRATATATGAACATCTTAAAGTAAAAATCTTGCAGTTGGCTATGCTGGTAGAGACAGCAGGTCTGATAACTGAGTAGACATATAAAGGCAATATAGAAAAGTACCTGTGTCTGCCAAAGGCTGCACATCACTTTATTTATTGGTGACTTCCATCATGGTTCCTGAGGATCACTCAGGAAGGCAGGCAGTGTAGAGCTGTCTTTGAGGACACTTTTGTGGGCACKGTAGCAGCGTCCAGCAGGCAGAGCCTTGTTCATAGCACAGCAGCAGCATCCTGCGAAACACCTAGAAGTCACATGCCAGAGAGAGAAAACATGTCTTTGTAGGCATTATTCACAGGCCATCCTTCAGCTTTGCTGCCCACGTTTGCCCATGAAGCACTTCAAACAATATGTTCCTGTTGCTGAACAGGTAAGCAGGTAAGCCAGGTGTGCCTGGTTCTTAACAAGACCTTTCCTGCAGTCGAGACTAAAAGATTTCCACTGTTGTCCATTTACATTACATCTCAACACCAAGCACCTCACCCAGAGGATCTGCATCTTGTCAGCACCCCCTGGAGGCAGTGTCTGAGGAGGGAAGTGGTCTAAAGTTGTAGTAACTCCAGTGCTGTGGAACAGCAATGAAAGGACATGAGGATGATCAGGGGCCTGGAACACCTGCCCTATGAGCAAAGGCTGAGGGAGCTGGGCCTGTTCAGCCTGGAGAAGAGGAGGCTGAGGGGGGACTTGATCAGTCTGTGAAATACCTCAAGGGAGGCAGTGAGGAGGAGGGGSCGGCCTCTTTTCAGTGGTGGACAGTGACAGGACTAGAGGAAACGGCCACAAGCTGAGGCACCAAAAGTTCCACAGGAACTTAAGGAAAAATTTCTTAACAGTGAGAGTGACAGAGCCCTGGAACAGGCTGCCCAGAGAGGTTGTGGAGTCTCATTCTCTGGAGATCTTCCAAACCCGCCTGTGCCACGTGCTTTAGGTGACCCTGCGTGTGCAGGGGGTTGGACTACATGACCTGTAGAGGTCCCTTCCAACCTTAAGCATGTTGTGATTCTATGATCCTATGACACATAACTGAGGCCAAAACTATTCTATACTAATGGAGCCGAGGAGGAAATCTCATGGTCGATTCACCCCTGTCCTCCAACAGATCTGTCCCCCAAGAGTCTACTCATCTATCTGGGTATTGGAGAAACCAAGGCCTGTATAGCCTGTCCAAGCAAAACAGAGCTTTAATGTCTTTTAAGACAAGGACAAAACAACACATTATTCCCAGTGCACAGCAGCTTCCCCAGGACCTCAGGGAATGTCCTTTTTGGTCCCCTGGCTGGTTACAGAGGCTGGCAGGCCATGCTGTGAGATCAGCATGTGGCCCTGGGCACTCCACCCACAACCTTCGCTGTGATTAGGACCTTCTCTAGCCCGGGCCTAGAGAAAGCACAGCCAGGGCCTAGCACCTATGGGGAGCCAAGGGGATACTCAGAACCCCCCTCTACACCAGGATACAGAGCAACTTTTTATGGGGGCTTTGCTCCTTCCCATCCTTCTCTCTGCTGTTTGAAGCTAAAATGCCCAAGGACAGGGTACAACTCATCCTGCTCCTTACTTCCAGCTTCTTTTTCTTGCTAGGACAAAGTGCAAGTGCTCAGCAGGTTAAGGCAACCTGCTCGTAGGTCAGCAGGGTGTCATGGCAGACAACCCACTTGCCCATTTTCTCTCAGCCAGGCTTGGTAGAAGGCTTACGCCTGTGTGTCTCCACTCACAGCACGTTTCTTCTAAAGCTTTTCATATTTCTTTAAGTAGCACTCTGGATTTTACTCTGAATATTTTGTGCGGCAAAAGATTTCATTAAGTAATCTCTAAATCACAGCAGTTATCAATTCTGCTGCCTAATGGCTGTGAAACTTGGACTGTATTTTGGAGCAAAGACACAGGGAAAAAATATAGATGGCAGGTCAGTATTTTACTGGGATGCCAGCATGACAAAAACACATGCAGCTGCTCCAAAAATAGCACGCTGCAATTTTCCAGTAATGCTCATCTGTGAAAAGAACGAACAAATGAAAAGAAAGGGAGGAGGGAGCGAGGAAAGTTTTCTGGGTTTTGAGTGGTTACAAACAATTTCAGCAACTGATCAGAAGACTATAGAAGACCTCAGACTTAACTTCCCTTCTTACCAAAAAGTGGCAAGAGTGCCAGTGACCTGAAGTTAAGCTGGTTGTCCCTCTCTCCAATTTTCTGAAGTCAAATAGTCAGAGTGAGGGAAACTTTAGAAAATTTCCCATTAACAGCTAGATGGAAAGTATTTTCTCGTGATTGTTTTTGTTGCTGCAACAAGCTGACTGCTATGTAAAGATGCATGGAATACAGCTTGCCAAGGAAGATGAAAAGAAATAAAGGTGAGAGAAAGTGGAAAAAAAATGGAAGTGGCAGGGAAAAGGTTCACCAGGTTGGGTGCTCTAACATGATATTTCACAGCTACATGAGCTGAAGTATTGGCTCCATTTATCTTAGTGGCAAAATTTATTTTAACTTGTAGGAAGCCTGGACTTCATTACAGCTGTTTGTTGTTAAAGAACTGAGTATCTTGCCACATTTTTCGGYGTTTACATCTGCCAAGAAGCAAAGGTCCGGTGTGAGCCTAAGAATTTGTGTTCAAGAAATACTATCCTGCCCTGTACATTGCACTGAACCTTTCTGCTTTCACTTGCTTGTTTGGCAGCAGCTCAGTTCCTCCAGAGACTGACTGCAAATACATATGGCCAGTAATTACAGCTTATTTTCCCTTCCACATTGTGAGGAAACTGAGCTGCTGCCCATGAGTCAGGGCAGCGCTGACCAGAGTAGACACTTGTACACTTAATGTATCTGTACATGGGTGCTGAGAGCAACCAGAGCCTTTTGGAGGAACTCAGCTGCTGAGGGCGTGAGAGAAACTGCGAGGAACTGCTTTACAAAAGCCTTTTAGACTCTCAGGAAACCTTCATGGCCTGCAGAATGAAACACCTTGAGCTGGGTTCCAGAAACAGARCCTGACCCAAGTCATAGGCAAAAGTTGGAGGAGTTGCAACTTTCTTGTCCCACTGCCCTGCCAGGGCAGGAATGCTGGTTATTGTGTGTCCTCATCTCACTGAGAAAACCAACGTTCTGTCACTGAAAGCCATTCCGTGTCTTTCCAAAAGCCTTGCTTAGGACCTCCATGGGTAAATCTTGGTCCTGTAGGGTTACACGGTCCCTCCTCACTGAGGGGTCAGGCACCGTGCAGCCACGGCTGGTGTTTGTCCCTGTCTCCCTGTGAGGCAGGACCAGGCCTGGGTCATGGCCGGGGGCCTGTGCTCGAGCGTGGTGCCGAGCCGGGTCCCTCACGCGCATGGCCACACTGCGGGAGCTGGCCTCGACGGCGGCCCGCGGAGCCTGCTTCTCTCCCGGCCGGCTGCCCCCTTGGCCTCACGCGGCTCTGAAGGCGCTCAGGGTGCTGGCAGAGCAGGGCCCGGGTGACATCATGGAGACCAGCTGGCCTCCCTCGGGAATGTGTGTCAGGACCCAGCAGCACGTCTGGTCACCACAGAAGGGGCTTAGCAGGGCCCGCTGCCCCACAGCGCCATTTCCCCTCAGGCCCCTGAGCTGCCTTTGGGCACCAGGGCCCCRCCGTGACGTCCCAGATGTGCAGCCTGGGACCTCATGACCCTCAGCAGAGGCAAGGACTTGGGCTACTCTCTGCGTGCCTCTCCCACTTTGTCCTTCCTTCCTGACCAGAGCATTCTGCCCCCARGCAAACACCCCATTCGCCTCATCACATAAAGGGTTCCTCAGTTACCAAAAAACCTGTCCTCAAACCTTTGGTTGAAAGCTTCCTGTGCAAACTGCTCAGGCACGCCTTTAAAGTTAGGCACAAAAGTGTTGGCAAAGAGTGGCTGTTATGAGACTGTCAGCCTTCTTTGGGCATTTTTAAAAATATATAATTTTGCTTCTCTYGGTCTTTTTTTTTTCCCACTGCTAAAGAACCACTCCTCAGCATCTGTGCTGGCATCAGCCATACATGGGCACAAGGATGGCAAGACCAGCAGCCTCGCAGTGCCCTTGGGTTGTGCTCAAGACCAGCTTTTTGTTCACTAACCACAACATCCAAACTGGGAGCAGTTCCCTGAAGCTGGAAGACTTGCAGCAGTGCTGAGCCAGAAAGGAAGATGGAA